TTAAATAATAAATAATATATATATATATATATATATATATATATATATATATATATATATATATTATATATATGTATATATATATATATTTATATTNTATATATATATATATATATATACATATATATATATATAATCCTTTACCTTGTTCATAGAACATACGTTTTCACACACCATTTATATGTCCACCACAAAAGACGTGTAGCACTTGCTAACACTGTTTTACATTATTCACGTACCATTCGTTTTCCTCAACCACTTACGTTTTCACCTAAAAACCCTAAAACCACAATAGACTGGATTCAGCCGTCTCACATCGCTCATACTTCATACGTTTACCCTCTCACCACTTCATACATACATACATGCATACATATATACGTACTTACAGACATAATAAATAACTAATTTCATACATACACACATCAATACATCCATACTTACATTTTCACCAGCGGAGAAGTACTCTGCAGGCCTTGCGCCACCACCGTCGCCTTCATACATGCAGGTATCATGTAATCCGCAAACACTTCCGATCGTACCGTGCGTGCGTGTGCGTGTGTGTGTGGCTGTGCATGCCCCTGTACGTGTACGTGTGCGTGTGTGGGCGTCCGTGTGGATGTGCTCAACGCAGCCACGAAGCCTGAGGGCAGAGGCAGTTGTAGCACACGCGTGACTAACGTCAGAGTGGAGAGCAGTCGCATAGACACCTTTGCCTCTAGAGTGATTGTGGGAGCACACAAGTATCTGTGGTGAGAGGGGATGGTCAGTGAGTGTAAGTGACAGACAGGGCGGATTAGGTTGTCCGTGATACACATGTCATGTAGGTGTGTGTAGGTGTAGGTGTATACATGTGTGTATGCGTGTGTATAAATGTATGTGTTTGTATGTGTGTGTTTGTCTGTATGTAGGTGTATATATATATATGTGTGTGTGCGTGTGTATAAATGTATGTACATGTGTGTATGTAAATGCACATATATATATATATATATAATATATATACGCACACAAATATACATCTGCGTGTATTAGGGTTTTAGGGTTTTTTCTCTAAAACCCTACATTCAGCGAATAATACCTACTTACGCATGCGCTGGGTGTGTTCCCGCAAGGTCTACTGAACACAGACATTAACCGTTGTACATATACACACCCACGCAGTATGTCTACACACATACACACCCATGAAGTATGTCTGGGGCATTCCGGAGAATGGTGAGCACGAGTGTCTGTAGGAGGGGGTCTTCGTTGACTTTGTTCTGCCCGGTGATGAACTTTAGGAGCGTGGGGTTGTGCACCTTGGTATCGGAGGGCCTGAAATGGGGAGATACAAAGGCTCAGATTGGGCAGATACAGGGCAGGTGTATTCTCACCCCAACTCCGTGGTGGTAGCTGAAAAAGGAAGCAGAAACAACAACAACAGCAACAATAATAATAATAATATTAAGAAACCGTCTACCCCGTCTACGCACACACCTCGATCGAGACAGGGCACTATACACTGTTGTACAACGTTAGGGACAAGGTAATATACACTGTTGTACTACGCTAGGGATATGCCCAAGAATCACAGGACGTACACATCAACAGCACCATGCAAGCACACGAACATGCTCAGTGGTAAACCACGGCTATTCACACCGTGCAAAGATACAGAACCTCATGCAAAACACACACCTGACCTTATAACAAGCGAACACACGCACACACGCCAATAAAACAAGCGAACACACACACACGCACATAAAACAAGCGAACACACACATCTGACCATAAAACAAGCGAACACACACACACGTCCCCATATAAAAGGCACACACATGCTGCTGAGACCGTATGGACATAAATCTTAGGTGCGAAACCAAGTACTACGTCTGATGAAACAGATACTACCCATGAAACAAGCATACACATAACCTTTAAAACAAGCACACACTCTCTCTTTAAAATAAGCACACACACACACTCTTTAAAACAAGTACACACGCACTTTTCAGAGCAAGCACACACAAACTCTCTACAACAAGCACACGCACTCTTTTTACAACAAGCACACACACACTCCTTACAACAAGCACACACACTCACTTTAAAACAAGAACATACACTCACTTTAAAACAAGCACACACTCTCTCTTTACAACAAGCACACGCACTCCTTACAACAAGCACACACTCTCACTTTAAAACAAGCACACACGCACTTTTCAGAGCAAGCACACACAAACTCTCTACAACAAGCACACACACTCTTTTTACAACAAGCACACACACACTCCTTACAACAAGCACACACACTCACTTTAAAACAAGAACATACACTCACTTTAAAAAAAGCACACACTCTCACTTTACAACAAGCACACACACACTCCTTATAACAAGCACACCCACACTCCTGAGACCATATCGGCATACCCCTTAGGCGTAAAAATAAGTCCTTCGGTCGATGAAGCACACACAGTCATCATAAACTTATGCGCCACCTCTCGTCCATTCGTCACCTTAACGTGCGCTTCTCCTACCACGGGTGTACGCCCTCCATCGTCCGTTGCCATGGAAACGACCCCACCCTCCCCATCGCTGCCCGCGTCCCGATTGGGCGCGGCATTATTCTCCACGCTCTGATTGGCCGTGGGCTCATTCTCTGTGATCTCATTGGTTGTCGGGTGCCCATCCCTGTCGAGCGTGTAAGAGTCTGTGCTGTGGTACATATGGCTGATCTGGTCCAGTGTCTGTGCACTGAGTATTTGCACCTTGGTGGTTTTGGATACGTCTGGATTGGCGGCTATGGCTTCGCACACATGCAGCACCTCACTCGAGAGCTGTGGGATCGGTGGGTGCGATGAGAGGGTAAGGGGAGTACGAGTGATGAGTGACGATATTTGTGTGTGAGAGGTAGTGTCATGGTGTGTAGGTAAGACACCGTTATAGTATATAGTAAAGACAACATTCAAGACACCTTCATATTATGTGACTACGACACCTTTATGCTATGTATTTAAGACCCCTTTATACTATGTAATTACGACACCTTCATACTATGTAATTACGACACCTTTATACTATGTATTAAGACACCTTTCTACTATGTAATTACGATACCATTATACTGTGTACTAAGACACCTTTCTACTATGTAATTACGACACCTTTATACTATGTATTCAAAACAACTTTCTACTATGTAATTACGATACCATTATACTATGTACTAAGACCCCTTTATACCATGTAATTATGACACCTTTATACTATGTAATTACGACACCTTTCTACTATGTATTAAGACACCTTTCTACTATATAATTACGAACCATTATACTATGTATTAAGACACCTTTCTACTATGTAATTACGACACCTTTATACTATGTATTTAAGACATCTTTCTACTATGTAATTACGACACCTTTATACTATGTATTAAGACACCTTGACACTTGGTACTATCACATATATAGTATGTTCCACTATCACGCAATAATCTGTAATCCTGTTACAAACCCGACTATTGCCTGTACAGGCCACACCCCCGTACAGTCGGTGAAGTGTTTGTACTCAACCACACCCACACCTACTTTTAACGGGTCCTTGCAGATGAGTTTTAACAATGCCTAGGATAGCCTTCTTATTCGCATCTATGATGCTTGTACTCAACCACACCCACACCTACCTTTAACGGGTCCTTGCTGATGAGTTTAAACATGCCTAATGTAGCCATCTTATTCGCATACATGATACTTGTACTCAACCTCACCCACACCTACCTTTAACGGGTCCTTGCTGATGAGTTTGAACATGCCTAATATAGCCATCTTATTCGCATCCATGATGCTCTGCACCGTACTCGCATCGTTGTGGCTCAGCAGCGCCAGCATAAACTCTATGAATAGCGTGCGGATGTCGTGGTACTCTTTGTTGTTGCGGCGTGCCGGGAGCTTGGCCAGGGCCTTAGTGCGATGGAGTGGGTAGGGATGAGGAGCGTGTGGGGTTAGTTGACGATGTACTGAGAATATCAATCAGACACTCAGTAGCACGTAAAAGAGCTCACATGGAAGGGACTTTGACGTGTGGTGCGGATGTGTGGTTGGTTGTGTTGTTGACGATTTAAATGTATGTGTATGAACGATTCTACAGTTTACACAAATATGAATATACATATATATATATTAATATATATATAAATATGTATTAATATATATATATATATATGTATATATATATATATGTGTGTGTGTGTGTGTGTGCGTATATATACATATAAAAATATATATACATATATATTAATTTATATATATATTATGTATTTATATATATATATATATATATATATATATGTGTGTGTGTGTATGTGTGTGTGTCGTTAGAAGTATTTATTTAGTT